AAAAAAGTATTTGTATGTATATACATACTTCTGTATAAATATATAAAACACCCTATATTCTAAGAATGCTTTCAGGACACAATGCTAGTCACTTCAAAATAAGCTGGCACTGAAATGCATTCCTGATGATTACATCAACGTTGAGTTAGATTTATTTTTTAGTATAGAGAAATGAGTTACAAAATTACCTGTTTTGTTTTGTTTAGAATACAATAAGTTACAAGCTTATTCACAGCATGCAGTTCTAGCAGAGGTCAAAACTTGAACTTAGCCTGATTGGTATTGGTAAACGTATTTTTAATACTAAAGATATTCCCAAGTAAAATCAGTAGTGATATATGGAATATAAATTAATATATTGAATTATATGCATTTATTAAATGTAATACCCTCCTTAGTGGGTCTGCTTGAGCTAACAGAATTCAGCATACAGCTGGGAGCAAAAAGCATATAAAATATAAACAGAAGTAAGCAGGGACAGTTCCAGAGGAGCTGGTGTATTGGAGGAAAAGCAAACAAACACCTTTGGTCACCCTGTGTTGAAGGTAAACGGTGATATTACCATAATCACCAGGCACTCCAAAGAGCCATTTGAAATAAGCTGTTGTGGATTTGCAGCTGTAGGAAGGAAAATTAAAAACTTGGGAACCTTGATGTGGAAATTATCATCGTGATGCCATTGTTGCTTTTTGTTACTTGTAGTTTTTATTTTTATTCTACAACCATAACTTCATGCACTATAACTTCACTGCTCAGCCAATTACCCCATCTAAACATGGGATACATGCAATTTTAATGATCCATCAGCCTAATCACTACTGAAATTAGAATCACATTAGTTTTTCAACAAACTAAAAACCATTTTTTAAACGTGTCACTCCTTGTTTGAGATAAATTTTTCCATTATTTTCATCCACCCACACTCACCTTAGTGCTTTTGTCACTGCTCAGCCTCCTAGCTGCTGGGATTCCAGCTTTTTTTCCCTAAGGACCCATGGCTACAGAGCCATTACCTGAGCAGCAGAACACTATTATCTGACATGAACTGGCAAAAGCTGTTGAGTATCAGAGATTCAGAGTTAGATTTTGAATGTGGCAGTTGCTAAGATTTATAAGGCTCATATCTGTGCTACAAATACCTGTTTGACTCAGCTGCTGAAGCACAACAGCTGACATACACATCCATTTTAGCAAAAGCCTTTAGTATGCCTGTACTGTTAATGGCAATGTGTCAGCCTGCATGTCAAGATGTGACGGGCCCCTTCCGGAGAGAGATTATCTGTTTTTCTCCTTCCAAGGCATAATGAGACCATGTTAGACATCTTTCACCAAAGTCCCTATCTTGTCCTCTGAGGCACGGTTTGTACCTTTGTTCTTTATATGTGCTACTTTTGGAACACATTTTATTTCACAGAAGGAAGAAGACAAGAACAATTTATGAACTAAGTGTCAGTGGGCTTGTTCCCAATAATTTATACAGTACTAAAAACCCCAGATAATGAATTTGCAGAAATGCAGCTTTGGAAGCAAAGAGTGCACAGAAAAGTTCTTCCCCATACATGCAATGGAACGACTTTCCAAAGCTGATCAACAGCACAAATTCTCCCTAAAATTAGGGGTTATCTCAAACATATCAGAATTCAGTGTACCAAGAAGTATAGAATAGTTTTTCTCATCTGTCCAGTGTTAGCTCACAAAACTCAGGCTGTTTTTGTTAAAGTGTCTGCCCCAGTCAAGGGTTTGGCTATTACTGCTCTTCAGGTAGGCTGCTGCTGACTCATCCCTTAGCATGGACCTACCTACATGAAACAGGCCCCAATATCTCCACCCCTCCACATACTTTCCATCCCTGCTGCTGAGCCCTCCTCAGATTCTCCACATCCCTGGGAGGGCCCTTAGCCTCTGCTCTGTACTCTGACAAGCAGGGAGAGACAATAGCTGGCCATCGCTTGGGAGCCATGCACTTATTTGCACTAAGAATGCTTTGTTGACTCGTACTCAACTTGACATCTGCTGTCACCCCACGTCCTTTTTGGCATTGGTGCCATTCTGCCAATCTCTTCACAGCTTGTTCTGATGCAAGGAACAATTTCTTTCCAGATGCAGAGCATTGCAGTTCTGATCGTACTTCATGATGTGAATGTTGGCCTGGATTTCATTATTAATTTGGCCTAGATTATGTTGTTAAATTAAGACAATTTTTTAATGTTCTCATGCTGATTTTGTCAAAGTCCTGTTATATTCAAATGAAAAATTAAGAACTGGACCAGGCTATGAAAAGTCACTGTGGGCTTGAGCTGCATGGGTTTTGTTAGAATTAACTTCAAAGGATATTTCAGAATTATGTTTACGATTTTCATTACATTGTGCATTCATGGTACTTTTAAGTTTTCACTCAGAATAGAAGTCTATGCAAAAAAAGAAAATATTGTTAGTCAGAGACAATTAAGTTGATACACATGAACATATATCTGAAATCAAGCAGAACAAAATTGGATGGGAAAGTTGACATGCAAAAGCCTGTAAGTAAAATATATTTAAAATTGCCGAAGTTTGTAATACAGCTTAATCCAGCATTAAAAAATATTTATTGTACTGACAAATTTATGAGCTTGGTGTTTTTTTTTCTGCTTTGTTCCCTTTTCCCTTCACTGTTTTTCTTTTTTGTCTCCTGTCTAAAATGGGTGTTGATTAAGTGGTAGAGATAAATCTGCCCAGTGCAATATTCTTAGAAATACTTTTAAAAAAAAAAAGACAGCTTAGACAACATGAAGCTTGTAAATAATTTACAGGTTTTGGAGTAGTTCATAAGACCATGTTCTGGAAGTGTAATTTCCCAGCAGTAAAACAGCAAGCAGGAGAGACCATCAAAAGGCAGAGCATATTTATTATTCTCTATCTCTGTTCTCTCTGTCAGTCTATCTTATTTTCTCTTTAAAGCAGAGAGGACAGGACTCAGGAAGAACAGTTCAAGATGAATTTATGCTCCTTTCCTTTTCTTCCACAAGGAACACATGATGCAATCTAATGCAATTTTAAAGGACTGTCAAACAAATTTTCTGTAACAAAATAAATTATATATACATTTGGAGGGAAAAAAAAAAAGAATATGGGAAATGGTTTAAATGTCTAACATTTTTCTTTCAAACTATTTAATTATATTGCTTCATAAGAGTTAAATGAAAAATTAGAAACATTTTTTTTTTAAATTGCAGTTGGTACAATGGAAGAAGTCAGCAATAACTTGATATAAAGCCATGGGGAATACTTAACAATTACAATATTAAATGCCTTTTACAGAAATGGAGAAATCTTTTGATAAATTCAATAATGCCAGATTTATGAGACAGCAAAAGAATGTTATTGGAGGTAAATGATGTTCACTAGATATGTATTTAGATTCAAATTGCTCAAGGAAAAGCTGTTTGCATCTTGTAGAGTCTCAGAAGAAAGCTCCAAGCTTAAAAAAGAAAAGTTTGAAACTAACTGTTTTTTCTAAGCATAATTGGCCAATATTTCAGGTTTTACATTCTGTGGATGGAAAATGTAAGCTGTTACTGGCAATGCTGTGACAAAGAGAAGAGCTAAATACAGAGAACCTACCTAGATAAATTCAAGAAGTTATTCATTACCTGCACTTTCATTCCGCTTGCATCAGTGACAGCCTCTGTGGCCATACACAAGTCATTTTGTACTTATGTCTCCATGCCTGCCCTTTGTCTACCTGTTCTGATCAAACAATTGTTTCTTACTAAGTATTTGCATGCTCCCACTTATCAGGAACTTAAGGTCTGATTTTGGCTGAGGGCAAGTGACGTAAATCAAAATTTTGGTTGAGGGTGACATCAGTCAAAATAATCCAACATCTATAGATCTGACATGGGTTTTTTCAGGCAGTGCATCATCTCTCAATTAGTGAGATGACACTATTTGTTTCTTCACATAAGCTGTCAAAGCTATGAATATCTTCTTGTTCCTTATTTGATCTAATAGAAATGTCATTTGTCACAGGAAAAGCTGTTATTACACTGGCAAATGATGTTACACTGTTCTTTATCTTCATATGAAGCTACTTCCTTTCCCCAGTGCTCCAGAATAGGATCACATATGAGTGTGAATTGCATAGCACTTGACAAATATATATATATGAACCTTAACTGACTTTTCTTCCCTTACTTTGTTTCCAGACATACTTCTGTCTTATAGAGCTTGCAAGGCTTTTTTTTTTTCACCCACTGCATTGAAGAAGGAATTAAGCAAAAGGGAATTATGTGCATTGTCTGAAATCATCTGCTCAGTCTGGAAAGTTTGGGACTTGACTCCAGAGTCTTGCCTTTGATTTTTACTGCATGACTTAGTAACTGATATTGTATTCCTTGTTTTTCCTACCTCTTTACATAACTCATTTTTATAAAGTGACTGCTCTAATCCTCTTTTCTTCCCCTTTGTTTCGCTTTGTTTTCTCTGACTACACCCTGCTGTGACAGATTCTGCTCATTCTTCCTTACATATTTCAGTTTATAAACAAGATGTAAAGAGGCAGAAGGATCTGCAAGGCTTGAGAAAGACCTTCTGAGGAGTTTTCTGAACATATTAACTGTAACTCATCAGCTACACTATGACTGCTTATTTTGATTTTGATACTGAATTGCAAATGCAGTTTAGCTTCCTGCTTGGTTTCTGTGCCACACAGGTGCTGCTTGCCCATGACCAGTGGTGACATTGACACCTGGCTCTGCAGCACAGTGGCTGCTGCTCATGCTGTCACTCAGTTCTATATGCTGAAGTTGAGAAGAAATGGCACAGAAAAAAAAAAATTGTCCAATGGGAACTCTTTAGGAAGGCATTTCAAAGTGATGCATTAATATTGTTAGAGTGAAATCAGGCTCATGTAGAACGTTGAACTCTTAGGTTCACACATGTTCTGTGTGGTCTTTTAACACAGGGCTTGCCTGAAACAGATTCCACATTATTTATTTATTGTCTCTAACTTTTTCCAGGAATGTCCCAGTGGTGTTGTCAATGAAGAGACCTTCAAAGAGATTTACTCTCAGTTCTTTCCACAGGGAGGTGAGTACTTGGCAGCCCTCGCTGGTACAGCAGTGCATTGTGGCATGTTTGTTTACTTATAAGTGTGACAAAAAACCCTATTCAAATTAAGAAACTGTTGTTGTCTCAGGCTCTGTTTAACTCTTCGGGTACTTATTGGACACATTTAAAAGTGTAAGTTTCTGAAGGAAATGCAACATCTACATGAAGTCAGCCTGATGTTACGAAGATACCACCTGTATTTGGGTATCTTTGAAGTAGGTTATTTCCTTTCAAACTTCCTATGCATTCTTTTCCATTCTCTTTCACTCCACAAAACCTCTCACAGTAGAATTGAAATCTGTAGGAGGCACTAGTCTTGTGGGTCAAATTAAAATCTAGTATCAGTGGGAGAACTCCCCTGACTTTCATGGAGTTTCTTTACATAAACAAAGGTTTTTTCTGCTGTGCTTAATTTCAGTGCAATGGCTTCCAGGGCCTTCAGTAATTTCTATTTCTTCATTATCTTTCAGTGCATTGAAGGCAACACAAAACATTTCACTTTTTCTTTTTGCATAGAAACTCAGATTATTTTTTAGTTTGAATAGTTTTCCCCTCTTTTCTTCTGCTTACCTTTACCATTCAGTCCTCTCTCTTCCTATTTTCCTACAGCTCTTCAGTCCTGCCTCTTCATCTTTTCCCACAACTCTTGAGATTTGCATGCTAGCATACGACTGTTCGTAGCTCTTCATAGCTCTTTCTTTTCATGCATGTAAAAAAAAAATCAGAAACCCCCTCAACTTAATTGGTGGGAACAAAAGCTTTTCCAATTAGTTTCATTTTAAATAAAAACCTACAAGGTAAAGAGCAGCATTCATTGTGGATTACCATCACTGGAATCCTCAGCAAGTAGGCACAATCAATAGGGAAGAACAAGAGGCTAGAAGAGTTGACCCACTTACTGATTATTTCTGCATCTAAGCTTTTAAGCCCAGCTAATTACAGTTTCAGATATTGCATTTTCTAACCACTCTGGCTGGTGAAAACAACCACTCCGTATGTGGTTTACTACACCTTTACTGCACTTAAAATTATAAGAATAAAAAAAATCTTATTGTTACACTCAAAATAGTTCATGGGCAGAAAGAAAGAACAACTTCTACACAAGTAGATTTATTGTTAGAATAAGTGCAGTCTCAAAAGTATAGCCTTTCTTAGTCCAGAGCTAACTGTTACAAAGAAACAGTAAGAACATTAATAAAATTAAAATTAAAATTGCTACACAGACACTAATTAGTTTTCTACCCCATTTCCTTGTCTTATGCTCACCTGCCCACTGCTCCTCTGGGCCTTTCGAGGAGTGGTGTCATTTGTGGGAGAAAGTGAGGAGTCAGCATGCAGAATTCTCCCACAAGGAATCTGATACTTTTGTTGGTGCTTTTTCGATCTTTGTTCTAGGATTCACTTCGGATCATTTGTGTACCTTTCTGGTTTTCAGCTCTATGTTACTTCTGAATTTATTGAATGGCATATTTTACTATTTCCTTGTTTCTTGCTACCCCTAATACCACTCTTGTCCAGCTCCACATCTGTTTTTCTTCACCAGGCTCCAGGTGAGACCATTATGGCTGTAGGTGCTCCAGTTCCAGCCTGTGCCCTGTCTCCTCCCACATCCTACCCACGCCAGCATTACAGCCTAGAATAACTGTGTGTTTTTAGAGTTGTACCATAAAAGCAAAACCAATCGGCCTCAGAAACGTGGCTGATCAGAGAAGGAGTTGCCACAGCTACGCGGGGGAAAACAAAGACAAAGCTGCAGGCAGGTTAAGAGGAGCCCATGCAGCATGAGCCTGCCTGGCCTTGGTCCTGCAGTGAGCTCTGCAAATCCTATGGCTTGTCGGCAGCAGTGGCAACAGTATTCAGAGCTGACAATGGTACTGTACTTTTTGGAATGAAAATATGCTTTTTTCTTTCTCTTTATTTAATTTTGGGAAGACACAGTAAAAAGAATCCCTAAGGAAACCAGGATCCAATAGACTACTATAAATCTTTAGATTCTTTTCAGTTTTGAGTCCATGAAGTGAACTTAACCCCAAAATCAAATTCAAAACTCCTGTTTGCTTCAGAGGTGCTAATACACTACATTTCCTGTCACCTGCACAGCAACTTTGCTTTACTGAATCAGAATTATTTTTAAAGAAACCCCGTGTATTACAATTTTAGCATGGTACGAAAATATCAAATCCAGATAATTCATCTGCAGTAGATGCTGCTGTGCATGCTGACAGCATTTTAGCTTTTTCAGTAAAGCAGTTTTAGAGATTCTCAATGAATTGCACCAAGAAGTGACCACCAGAAGCTTATTCCACTCACTGCCTATGCTCCACATCTTCCACATGAAGGCCAACTGCTAAAGAATGCATGAAGACAGTGTAAATAAATGTGAAAGCACTATGCAATTTTCCTCAAAATTACAGGAAGAATAATCAGAGGAGACAGCAGAAGAGCTGATTGTCCTCACAAGAGTAACAGCTCACAGCAGTAATTCTATTGTTTTTGCAGGCGCAATGAGACTTATAGCATTTTCTGTAGGTTTTGATATGTTTTGCAGATGCCTTGCTGACTTTTGCTATTTTTTGAGAGGTTTGAAAACCCAGGTCTGTTCTTGGTTTCCCACAGTAGACAAGATGTCTTCCAAGAACCATTAATATAGCCTGTTAACTGCAGAGTGAAATCACCGTATTGAAGCTTCTAGTAAAACAGCCAGTCTGATGTTTCACCTGTGAGTGTAATGCCAATGTGCTGTGTGCAGTGAAGGCCTCTGAATTTCAGCTGAACTTGAAACACTGCTTTTGCATGTGAATATTGAAAAATATTTAAAATCACAACAGCAAAGGCAATGTATTCGTATGTCCCCATGTTAAAACATCATACATGTAGATGTGTGCCACAAATGTGCACATATCAAAAAACTGACACACCAGAATTTGTAATTAAAACTGTACATATCACCTGAATAAAAGGAATGATATTGAGTAACATTTTAAGCCTTAGAGTGATCAAGCAATTATCAAATCATGATCTGCTGATGTCATCCAGCAACTTTATCAAGTGATGTCAAGGACTAACCAGGACTAGGGACACAGGATCTACAAGAATATCAAAGGAGATGACGCAGAATTGTAGTAAAATCAATGTATTTCAAAAGGCAGGAATAGCTTTCTGAAAAGTTTTCCATGCCCAAAAGATAGACAAATAGAAAATTAACTTTCTAGAAAATGAGAAAGACAGTGCTATACTGGTGAATGACTAGGTCCCAGTAGCTTCCCTGCATGCACACAACAGGTTGTCTGAGAAAAAAGCACTGGGATTTGTTCTTCAGCCGTGCAGGTCACAGATAGGAATCCACACACTGAACAATTACTGTGCTCCTCAGTTAAGAAAAGAATGGATTATGTTCACGGTTTTCTAAGGCTTACTCTTGGATATATAATGATTACCATTTTTTGGTCTGATATTTAAAATGTTTTAATGATGTATTTCAAAAGAATTCTGATATAATATCTGTTCCTGCCTCAACCTGTCAAAATATCAATTTAACGTACAAGTTGTATCAGATCCTTGAAATGAAAACACATCTGACTTAAAAAGTGAAGCTTTTGTCTAAAGTGATTAATGTTCAAGATGTGTATGGGGATCACATTAAGTAGCTGTAATTAAAACACCAGAGTACCTCATCCTGCAGTGCTTTAGAAGACAAAATTTCAGACTAAAATTACATGCACAAACAAAATGTAAATACACAGAAAATGATTAGGAATATTTCACACGTTTTCAAGAAATGAGTGCCAAGAGAATTGGACGGTATTTAAAATTCAATTTACAGTAATTATGCCTCTATGATGTATTTTTTTTTTCTGAAGATTTGTATACTGTATTGTTGTACAACAGATGTCTCAGTAGATTTTAAAAAATAGGAGAATTAAAATTCTAAACATCATAAACCTTAGTAAAGGTTGAAGTGGAAATTCGCCTGCTTAAGCAACCACACTGATGGCTGGCATCATGGATGAGTAAACGAATATCTCTACAGAATTTCTAAATTTTGGGGAGGAAATTCTCTGAAATGTGTTAAAAGACATAAGGTTTGAAAGCTGCAAGGTTTGTTCTTATTACAGTTGTGTATTATTAAATTAACATATTGAAGACCAGAGACATCGCTTACTTGGTCTGAATCTGTGAAGCATAGTTTTGAGTTTCTGTTCAAAATATATTACTCCTGGACCAGCTTGTGTCTCTTGGAAGGAATCTGGTGGAAATGGAAAGATACATGGATGCTGTATAGTGTTTCCAAAACGACTTGATAAGAGGTGAAAAAGGCTTGAAAAGTGAACAATTAGTGAAGACATCACTCGTTCAACCATCTTTCAGAATATTATTGACCTCTTCACTTAGTCACAGCCACTCATGTTCATGGTTTTTAAGCACCTAGTTTTTGTAAAATGGAAATTGAGCAGCATTCTCTGACCTGGTAATCTCGGCCGGGGAGCACACTAACCCCCCTGTGATTCTGAAAGAAACAGTCAGAGACCTACTGCTCCAGCTGGACTGTCACAAGTCGATGGGGCCAGATGAGATCCACCCGAGAGTGCTGAGGGAACTGGCGGAGGTGATAGCCGAGCCGCTTTCCATCATCTGTCAGCGCTCCTTGTTGACTGGTGAGGTCCCAGAAGACTGGAGGCTTGCCAATGTGACTCCCATTTATAAGAAAGGTCGTAAGGAGGATCCGGGGAACTACAGGCCTGTCAGCCTGACCTCGGTGCCAGGGAAGGTTATGGAGCAGATCGTCTTGAGGGAGATCATGCGGCATGTGCAGGGTGACCGGGGGATCAGGCCTAGCCAGCATGGGTTCATGAAGGGCAGGTCCTGTTTGACCAACCTGATCTCCTTCTATGATCTAGTGACCCATCTGGTGGATGAAGGAAAGGCTGTTGATGTGGTCTACCTAGACTTCAGCAAAGCCTTTGACACTGTCTCCCACAGCATTCTCCTGCAGAAGCTGGCAGCCAGAGGCTTGGATGGGTACACTCTTGGCTGGGTAAGGAGCTGGCTGGAGGGCCGGGCACAGAGAGTGGTGGTGAATGGAGTTAAATCCAGCTGGCGACCGGTCGTGAGTGGTGTTCCGCAGGGGTCGGTGCTGGGGCCTGTCCTCTTCAATATCTTTATTGATGACCTCGATGAGGGCATCGAGTGCACCCTCAGTAAATTCGCAGATGACACCAAATTGGCTGGAAGTGTGGATCTGCCTGGGGGTAGCGAGGCCCTACAGAGGGATCTGGACAGGCTGGAGAGCTGGGCTGGAGCCAATGGGATGAGTTTCAACAAGGCCAAATGCCGGGTCCTGCACTTCGGCCACAACAACCCCAGGCGACGCTACAGGCTTGGGGCGGTGTGGCTGGAGGACTGCGTAGAGGAAATGGACCTGGGGGTATTGATTGATGCTCGGCTGAACATGAGCCGACAGTGTGCCCAGGTGGCCAAGAAGGCCAATGGCATCCTGGCTTGCATCAGAAACAGTGTTGCAAGCAGGAGCAGAGAGGTGATTGTTCCCCTATATTCAGCACTCGTGAGGCCGCACCTCGAGTACTGTGTCCAGTTTTGGGCCCCTCACTGCAAGAAAGATATTGAGGCCCTGGAACGTGTTCAAAGGAGGGCAACAAAGCTGGTGAGGGGTCTGGAACACAGGCCATATGAGGAGAGGCTGAAGGAGCTGGGAATGTTCAGCCTGGAGAAGAGGAGGCTCAGGGGAGACCTTATTGCTCTCTATAACTTCCTGAAGGGAGGTTGTAGTGAGCTGGGGGTCGGCCTCTTCTCTCGTGTCATCAGTGATAGGACCAGGGGGAATGGTTTCAAGCTACGGCAGAGGAGATTCAGGTTGGACATGAGGAAGTATTACTTTTCAGAAAGGGTGGTCAGGCACTGGAATGGACTGCCCAGGGAGGTGGTGGAATCACCGACCCTGGGGGTGTTCAAGGAAAGGCTGGATGTTGTGTTGAGGGACATGGTTTAGTAGGAGCTATTGGGAATAGGTGAACGGTTGGACTGGGTGATCTTTTAGGTCTTTTCCAACCTTAGTGATTCTATGATTCTATGATTCTATGATTCCAGCTATGGGTCTCTCACCTGTGGCTGTTGACAAGTACTGAACAGCCAGATGGGTGGCAGATGCTGCTGAAGCGACTCTGAAATCTCATCTTCTGCATTTCCCTATGCCAGTTTGTTGTGCAGAGCCCCAGAGCAGCAGCAGCTTCTGACCCGCTCATCTTCAACTAAAACAATCTGCCTGTTGCCAGAGTAAAAGCCATACGCCAAGTGCACAGATGGCAGTGCCTGCTTCCCTCACTTAAAGTGACAAATGAACACATTTTTCTTCTTTAGCACATGAGAAAGATCTCCCATTATGGTCATTTAACTGATAAAGTAGCATTCCCATTGATGCAGACTGTTTCAGAGTACCATAACGTGACTTCTTAACCACTTGTTCAGATCTCAGTGATTAATCGTTTGCATGCAGCAATAGTAATGAAAATGAATAAAGATATTCTAGCCTATACTTTCAGAATTTCCTTTCAGGTCTAGTTGCACATATACTTAATCTTCTAATTTACCCCATCCATCCTGCCTCCCCAAAAAAGCTCGAAGTGATTTGAAATTTTAATTTTAGTTGGTGTCAAAATATATCTTCCAATAATTATTTTCACTGAATAAGATGTGCTTACTATGAAGAAGATGTGCTTACTATGACACATTTTTATTGTTTTAAATTGTAGATTCCACAACTTACGCACATTTTCTGTTTAATGCATTTGACACTGATCACAATGGATCTGTAAGTTTTGAGGTGAGTGATACTGTTATATCTTTCTCTACATTTTCTTTAATGTTTTAATATTCTTTGCAGTGAAGCTGAATGTGATCGGTTTTATTATATGGATCACATAAAAAGACTCAAGTTTTTCTGACATGGTAACAAAATTGTTATTATTTTACAATCGTATATCCCAGAAATGTAACTCAAACCAAGCTATGTAACGTTTTTTGTAAATTTGCTCATTAAAAGGTAAGTCAACTTATTCAATAGTTGCATAACAGAATCCTTATCTTTTCCCCTGCTTTCAAGATGAGAAAGACTGTGATCCAGCTAAAGTTGCAAGGATGATTCAGACAAAATAGGATTGCTTATACACTCTGTTATTTCCAGGAGGAGGTTCTGCAATCATACATAGTATTTAAAAGCACAAATGTTTAAAACTAATTCTTCCTCCATTTACCTGCCCAATCTGTTTTTTAAAAATTCTGTCTTTCGCTGCTGAGGCTGATGTCACCACCTGCAAAGGCTGACATCACTGACACAAAACCATGATAAAAAAGGCAACTCCCTGCAGCAGTTAAATGAAAGCAAGTGGTGCTGAAAAGGAGCCCTTACTTTAAGCCCTTTCTTTAAAAATTAAATGTTTTGCTTTTTTTTCAATGGACAGATGGTATCCTTACAACCTGAGATTGGTTTGGAATTCAATGTAACTGCTGGAAATTTGTTTAAATGCTCTATATGTGTTTTTATTATTTGAAGGAAAATCTTTTTAAAAAATTTTTATTCTTTTATTATTGATGTAATGTGGAAGAATCCTTGCCAAGCAGATGCACTGTGATTGCAAACCTAAACCTCAGCTGGGAACATAACCAGAGCATTTTGTGGGGGATTATTTGCATTTACTTGAAAAACACAAACCCCATCTGCCTTCTTCCAGGCAGCTGAAATCAATGGGCTCCATGTAAAACTGGAAGCAGAAATGGAGCTTTTATTCACATCTTCTGTATGAGGCTAATTCTACAAGGAATCCTGGTAACATCAGTAACAGCAACAGCAGTGCTGGAAAGTATTTTTAGCATCAATATTTAAGAAACATTTCTGCTGTTTTCATTAGGGAAAATGAGAACAAAAGAAGCTTTTGTAATCTTTGTAGACAATTTGTTCACATTTGTATCTCAAAGACAAAACCTTAAGAAATGAGGTAGATGTAAAGCCTTTTTTAAATGGATTTGAATATCTCAAAGTGCAGCTCCATGTACAAAAGAGCTTTGGAATAGAGGAAAATAGGAAAATAAAAGAAGTGGCATTTTTTTATCATTGCCAGAACAGACATTTTCTAGTGTACTGTGATACAGTATCGATTCAAATAAATTGACCCAGACTTTGATCTCATTTGCACTAATTGTAAGCCCAGTGTAATTCTAGTGCAGTCAAAAGACCCTGCTTCAGTGTCACTGTGCCGTGTAGCAGCTTCATACTTACAAACAGTACAGTAACCACTCTAAAGGCATCCCTCTAATGTTAAAAATGTTTAGATTTTTTCTAACCATGTTAAAGTAGCTGTGAATCGTGGGTTTCGTGAAATGGGAAAAATCACATTATTTTTTTTCCTGATCCTTTTTATCTTAGATACAACCATATATTTTCTATACCAATCTACACTCCAGTTAATTCCCGTTAGCCAAAAAAAAGAAACCACCCAAAAAACCACATAAAGACACAAAAAGGCCAAAAAGACACAGAAAACCCACTGGCACAAAGAGTAAGGGAATGGTGGTGTGATTTAAAAATTTGGTGAACAAGTAATGATTCATTCCAGACTTCTTGATACATCACAGTGTAGGACTAAATATAGTTTAGTATAATGGTCTGTGATCTGTGAAGAAAAAATGCTCTTCGACTCTCTTCTGTGTGAAAAGGACAGGAAAATTTGATATGTAAGCAGCCAATTTTTCACATGGCAGTGGGGATCTCACAAGAGTTCTGATACCAGACAGTGTAAAACAGCTACACATAAATACAGTTCCTCTCAAAAGCAATTCCTGCAGTTCATTGGTGACCTTTGCTGTCTTAACTGCATCTGTGCCCCACTATGTCTGTAACTAACGTTCCCTGTTAGACCCCTTTAATCAAAGTCTTCACAGGTACTGGGAGGCTCAGTAGGAAGCCAGAGGATTGGAAATAAAGAGCTGTGAAAAGGAATAAAGGCAATTATCAAAGAACCCACACTTGGTGTGCTTCCATGGCAGACTCCATCTGAGTTTATTTGCTGCCCTAAATACTATTGCTCCATTGTAGCATTCTGTATTGCGTCACTAGCTTAACACCGTAGCTGCACCACTCCTGGCATGCACCAGTCCTTCCACCATCCAGAGACTTTCACTGTTTGAAGATCTAGCCCAAAACGCTGTGTGGATTCAGTCTATGACCACCGAATCTGATTTTCTATTTCTAAATGGTTTTACTATTATATTCTTAAATTTTATGAAATTAAATATGTAGAAAATATATCCTGTCCTAAATGGTCCTCATGCAGCTCATCACAACTTCCTTTTGTGATAAGTCCTTTTTATAGTTCCTGAACTGGAGAACTCCAGAGAACTCTCAGACAAAGGCAGTGTGCCTGGATTGATCTGGGTACGATTCCCAAATGCACTGATGCAATAGGGAAGGAGGTGACCCAGTCTTGCAAAGCTTAGAGCATACACCTGGAAGATTATGAGTTGTCAGGAAGACTACTAGCGTATGAGTGGGTGCCTCAAAGAAAGGAAGAAAGAGAAATAATAAGGAAAAGGAAAGTAGATATTATTTAAGAATCATCAAATGGCTTGGGTTGGCTTAAAGTCAAACTAGTTCCAACCTCCTTGCTATGGGCAGGGGTTCCACTCACTAGATCAGGCTGCCCAGGGCCCCATCCAACCACCAGGAATGGGGTGTCCATTACTTCTCTGGGCAGCCTGTTCCAGTGCCTCACCACTCTAAGCATTGGAATAAATCACAGAATCACAGAATTGTAGGGGTTGGAAGGGACCTCCAGAGATCATCGAGTCCAACCCCCCTGCCAAAGCAGGTTCCCTACACCAGGTAGCACAGGTAGGCATCCAGGCAGGTCTTGAGCATCTCCAGAGAAGGAGACTCCACCACCTCCCTGGGCAGCCTGTTCCAGTGCTCCGTCACCCTCACTGTAAAGAAGTTCCTTTGCACATTTGTGTGGAAGTTCCTATGCTGCAGTTTCTGGCCATTTCCCCTTGTCCTGTCTCTACTCACCACTGGAAAGAGTCTGTCCTCGCCATTCTGCCCTCCACACCTTAGATATTGATAGACCTGGATCAGGTCCTCTCTCAGTCTTCTTTTCTCAAGGCTGAACAGACCCAGATGTAGCTGATGTCAAGAGTTGTTAAACATATTATTTTAAGAAAATAAAGTTATTGGAGACCTCTGCAGAAGAATTCAAGAAACATGGCATCAGAAAGGAAGTAAAATAGTGCAGAAAAATATGAATAGTACTGAATCAAAAAGGCTAATTGCTAATGCTGTAATGTGATCAGATCTGTTCTAAATTTCTCAGACATTTTAATACTTTATAGCACGCTGTTAAAGAGCTGTTTGGAGATTTGACTCTATGACCCTCAATTAGTCATTGAGATGTAGACAAGATAAGTTGAGCAAAACTCTTTTCAAGACTCATGTATTAATTTACCCCAAAGGGCACATGTACTAGTAACACAGAAATTTATGACAGACTAAGAAAACCCAGAGCATACTATTGGAATTGTTAAATACTGAAACTGTCAAAAGAGCTCTGCTTACCAGATCATCTAAGGCTGTGATGTCCTGTTTGCTTTACTCCACTGGGTGCACATTCTTTTCTATTGTTCCTGTTATAAGGAAATGCACACTTAGCCAAAGGCAATACAGAATCATTCAGCTTCTGTAGTCTCTGCTTTAGTGTTACTCTAAAGAATTCCTGTATTTCTTTAACAATAACATAAAAATGCACATTTAAATATAAGCTATTGAATTATTGTGCTTAACACATTATAGGGATGATTTCACAGATGTATGGGTATACAAGCTTATCACATAGAAATAAGTGGAGGAAAAGTTTAGGAAAAAAAAAGTCACTGTTTTAAAAAATGCAGTAAATGAGCTAAGAAATGCAGAAGACAGATGACAGTGCAGCTTGACTACTATCTTCTCTAGTATGGACGATGTTTATGCAATGTAAATAAGCTTTGTGTTGTGGAAAGAATATTAACTGTTGTAGTAGAAATGCTGTCACAGCCTGAACAGTGATTGAGCACCTGGTGAGAATGCAGGCCCAACCCATGGCAGCTCAGGTGCAAATAGAGGAGCAGCCAGAATCCACTCCCAGACCTCATTTAAGGGCTGGCAGTGGAGGTGAGGGTATCTCTCTGGAGATCACTGCCTACCTGGGGCCTTCTAAAGTTAACCAGTTTTTCTTCCTTTGTTTCTGCATCTATGGGGCTTGTTCTCATTTACTGTAGCCTCAGATTGTACCTCTCTGCTATTATTACTGTACTTTCTATCATATTTTAGCATTACAACTGTGCAGTAAAAATCTCATTCTAGCCCTGGAGTTATGTAAGTATATTGGTTCTCAGAATTGCTTGTCTGCTGATCAAGGGCATGGTCTGAATAATCCTGACTAATGTTAGTTTGTCAGTTATCCGTAGCCAAACATGACATGTATATAATTTCAGCAGTTTTCTTTTTTTACTTCTGTGGAGTAGATGTAAAGCAGTAGAGTATTGGTGGGTAACAGGACCACTGAGATGGCACATGAATGCAAAATAACTGCCATTCCCTATTGGATTTCCAGTGAAAGATTTAAGTATCGAGGTAACACATATTTAGTTTTTAATGCTGACTGCACAAGATCCATCTAAGAGTTTTGAGAACTATATATTCTACCTCCAATGAGGTATCCATATAACAAGAATGTAATGTTCCTCAGAGGATAGCTAATCCAAAATTGGTCTCCTGTGCTCAGATTAATCTAACTCCTGCTTAAGCTTTGTTCTGAGTCATTACACCATGGGGTTTGCTTTTACTTGGAATTAGTTCAACAAAGACTTCTTACGTGAGGCATTTCAAGGGATGAATCCACTAACAGAAAACAGTGGCTTATTTTATAGAAAATTGCTCAATTTACTTGTTAATTACTAGTGTAGTATACAGTGACTATTATAGTAGTATATATAGTAGTATACAGACTTTTAATTTTTTTTAAATAACCAGCAATTCTTAACATTTTCTCTGTCAAGTGAAAACAATAACACACTTCTCAAGATTTCTGTGATTCTGATGTATTTGTCTGCATTTCTGAGTGTTTGTGAAATACTGCTCCATTCCAAACTTACCAAGACCATTTGTCCATTTAGGATTTTGTTATGGGTCTCTCAATTTTACTCCGAGGGACAGTACAGGAGAAACTGAACTGGGCTTTTAATTTGTATGATATAAATAAGGATGGATACATAACTAAAGAGGTAAGGTCTACTTTTTATACTAATACTGAAACTGAAGGTTGTATACAGAAATCTTGCTTTGAAAGAAGAATGGGGTCAGAAGAACCACTGTCAAATCAGACCTGTCAAGGAATAATGTGTAGCATATTATAAAACTAAATGTGCTATTTTTTTTTTTTTTTTTTTTTGCATTTTAAGGCATATACCAAAATTGAAAAATAATTATCATAAACTTATGTATGTACAGAAACATGTATGTATAAGAGTACAGCAGATGACTTGCATCTATAGTTATTCTTACATTTCTTTGTGATTCCTGCTATTAACAAAATCGAAAGCTTTTGATAAAAATGGAAAACTCATTGCGAGTGTGCGAGTTTGTGTGTGGGTATTTCTTCTTTCTCTTGAAAACTCAGTTGTATGAAGGTCTTGTGTGTTAACCTGCTGCTATAGAATTCTTTTTCCATTTACTTATGCATTAGATTTTAAGAGACTCTTCCCACAGTGAATGTGCACGTATTTCTGAATCAGTTAAAGTATTTAAAATCAGAAACATTCATCTGCATGTGCTGAGCAAGTAATGAAAGCCAAACCAATGTGCAAGAATTCCTAGCGATACTCAGTACGTTCTTGAAGCTGTTCAATCACTAAATAACAATGTAATTTTTTTCTCTAAAATGCTGATCATAGAAATTAATTATGTTTTCTGAATCAAAGCACAATATATAATGCACCCTGAATTGCACTTTTTTTTTTTTTTTTTTTTCTCTTCAGGAAATGCTTGATATCATGAAAGCAATATATGATATGATGGGGAAATGCACTTATCCTGTTCTCAAGGAGGACACACCTAGACAACATGTCGAAACATTTTTCCAGGTGGGTCAGGTAACAAAGGGAACCAAAAAGTTGCTCCATTTGTAGCTGTAGAAGGATTTTTTTTTTTTTTTTTTTTTTTTTGCATTGTTGTAATAGTTTTGCATATCCTATCAATTTTGTTATTCTTCTTCATGGTTCATCCCAAGGCACTTGTCTCTCAGATCTACTCGCCCTATGTTGCTGTTTCAGCAAGCTTTTCAAGTTAGTGTATTATTTTCTACATTGTTATAGCATTTTGGCCTAGTTGTTCCCTAGGCCAACATGTAAATGAAATGAATGTTAAAAATGACTTTTAAAGTAGATTTCAGGAGTGTAATCATACATTTCTGTTCTTTCTGAACAGAAAATGGATAAAAACAAAGATGGAGTAGTTACCATAGATGAATTCATTGAGAGCTGCCAGAAGGTAAGCAACCCATGATGTATTGAATCCATATCAGCTGACTACTGCTATCATACACTGATTTTATTTTATATTTTGAAGTGACAGTGTGCAGAATAGCATTTCATTCATAGTTAACAGCGAAAAGTTTTTTTGCATTCAGTTAAATATTTATGTGTTCTGGGTAATACTCCTGATAAAATCAGCATACAGTCACAGCCATATATTACTTGAAAAACTGTCACATATAGGAGTGTTTCCTGAGCTGTATGTTTTAGGGAGAGTGGAAGCAGCTTGCAAATCGTTGAATGGCAGGAGTTAAAAGGAGGCAAGTTTTGTGTTGTTTGTTTGTTTGTTTTTCCAAGGCAAGCCAGTAAGAACAGATTGTGATTAGTAGTTAGAAGTGTTTACATTGTCCAGGTGGCCATTAATTTCCTTCAACTGTTGAAAGCAGCTCCCTGCATTTTGAGCCAGGATTGAGAGTAAACATGCAGCAAGAACTACAGCCTGTTTTCACTCCTCTGCCCTTGGAAACTGACTTGCTTTCACACCAGAGACAATGTGAGGAAGGATGCATTTTCAGAATTTTAAGGAGATACCATTAATACATAAGGTGAAGAATGGAAGAAAAAGAAAATACAAAATAATGGTACTGACTATTGGTGCGATAAGAGGTTATGTTACATACTGCAAAATGTTGCATTACACCTCATGATAAGGTGGGCTTGATTACATTATACAAATTGATAAGGCAAAACAAAACCTATGCTATTTGTTGCAGTGAAAAATATAAGGAATTGTAGTTGTGTTTGGATGCAGTCTTTCCCAGCCTTCCCAGGATGGCTGATTAGTGTGAAGCTGTCAAGAGATCAAGAGTATGGACTGTGTGCATTGCTGCTTGTGTGCATTGTATTCTGACACCAAGAAGTGAACAGTAGAACGAGGGACAGGAAAGAACAGCGCAGTTAGTGATAAATGTATAGTGATATGGAATATGGAAATCAGAACTGGAAATAGCACAGACGTGCTAGAATTTGTGTATTGTTTTATATATCCTTGGGATTGCTCTTGTGATTTAAAAGTAGCAAAATACAGAGAGGTAACAACCACACAGTGGTCACTTACTGACTCTTTTGACTTTAGGGTATTTAACAAAAAAAAAACACAGCTCTAATTTGGTGTGTCCTTAGCAATGGGTACTGGGTAGTGTCCTATCTGTCAGCAGTGTTGTATCACAGTGACGGTGGTTCTAGCTTGTCAGTCTTACTCAATATGAATGACAGGTATTTGCTCTGCTAATACTGCTAACACTGACCATCTGAAACAGAAGTTCATCTCCCAGCTGAGGTCTACAGAGTTCTGGAAGTTACGTGAAAGACTTACCAGAATATAGTGATAATAGGCGGATTGCTTCATTTACAAAGAAAATTAGTACCTTCAGTAAAGAGTTGCCTGTTCTCCTTTGCCAAAGTGATTCAGTTTCTCACTTCTGTTAGTAGATTTCTTATTTTGCTCTTCTGAGTATTCAAAATAAGTGATTCATAGGCCATCTCTCTCTCACAACGTGACAGACACCATTCTCTCATCTTAGAGAGCAGGTTGTCTTGCTGCTTTGCTTGATGTGGAATCCAAATGATTTCCTCATCTACAAGCCATCCTTTAGTATACAAGCTGATATTAGAGCAAGTCTGCTTAAAACATTCCCTGCTGGTTTTGCATAACAAATGATTCTACCTCAAGCCTTGGAATGGGAATGCCCATTTATCAACATGGCAGCAAGAGCTGCATCTGGTGCACATAAAAATATGCTAAAGGCACACGGGAAATGTTCACAATTCTCTACATTCTGTTCCAAGCTGCAAAATGGGAGTCAAAACTGTGCAAGAAAACATGTGCTGCAGAACACTCTCAACAAAACTCTAAAGCTAAGATCACTTCTAGTGTGGATCTTATAGTGTGGCATGCTTTAAAAGCAAGAACTAACACAGCAGGGCATATTTAGAGAAGCTCCACTTTCAATTGCTGTGATTTATTTATTTAGTTGGTTAGTTGGTTGTAGCATCAAGGGCCTCTGTGTTCTTAAACACATACATAACTGTCTCTTTCAAAATCCCGTCTTTGTGCTGAGTACTTGTTTGGTGCAACTGTCATTGTGGTAGCACTATACGGTCTAAGGAATATATCTAGTTAGGACTCTGAATTCATAGTCCCTGTGCAGAGGATGGCCTCTGCCTTCACAAAGTAAATATTAGGACATTATGTAAGGAACTACAGAGCATTCAGTCTTCATTGAGTATGGTCTTGTCTAGGCACCAAGTATAAGAACCTATCTTTCCTCATGGAAAAAGTAGGGACAGCAGAAGTGTTTCCTCTCAATCCTGTCCAGTTCTTTCTCCTCTGTCCTTTGGCTGCTTTGTGTCGCCCCTACAGACCTTCCCCCGATCCTTACCCATAGACACTCAACTTTATCATTCCCAACCCCAAGCTCTTTAACATCAAAACAGTCTTTAATATAAAGGACCACGCTACCACACTTTCTTCCTTGTCTATCCCTTCTGAAGAACTTATAGCCATCCGTCATAGCACTCTAGTCATGAGAGTGGTCCTACCATGTTTTTGTAATAGCAGCTAGGGCTGACGGTCAGTTGCTTCCAGCTCCTCCTGCTTGTCACCCATGCTGTGTGCATTGGTGTAGTCATCTGCCTCACTCCCAGCTCAAGCATCGTTCCTATAGGCTCATCTCTTGTGAGCCCTGTTTTGTCCCCTTCCCCTGTCGTAGCTAGTTTAAAGCTCTTTTGATAAGCTCTGCTAACTCCTGCACTAGGATACATTGCCCCCTATATAGGTGTGTTTCATGGACGGACAGCAGGCCTGGGGCTGAGTAAACTGCTTCTTGATCAAAGAACCCAAAGTCTTTGCTTTGACACCAGCCTGTGAACCAATTATTCATTGCTTGTACTTTCAATGTCCTTCTCTGCTCCTGAAGGTAAAGAACAAAAGATCACTTGAGCTCCCACTCTTTGAACTAAACACCCTAAATCCTTAAAAGCTCTTTTTGTAGTTTGTAGGCTTCTCTGAGCAATTTCATCACTGCCCGCCTGAACTATGGAAAGTAATGGAAAATAATCAGTGGACCTAACCAGCTTTGGCAGTTTACTGGTTATGTCCCTGATCCAGGCACCAGGAAGGCAGCACACTTCCTGATGGCTCGGGTCCAGCCTACACAGGAGGCCGTCCATTCCTCTGAGAAGGGAGTCTCCCACCGTGACCACCTTTCTTTCTTTCCTGACAGGAGCAGTCACAAGACAGGGGGGTGATCGTCTTGCCTTAAGCTCCCTCCTAGGCAGATTCTCCATCGCCTCACCACTCACCTCTTTCAATTTCCAGCGTCTAAATCTGTTTAGAGGGAGCTGGGGAAGTGGGCTAGCTAGGCGGAGGGGGGAAGGGGGAAGCTCCTGTGGTGCTGAGTTGGGATTCTGTTCCACCCCTCCTCATCCATCAAGTCTGTCCAACTGTGACCAGGCAGGGGGTCAGCTACCTTTCTGTGGGTGTTTCCCTGGCACCCTTCTCTCTGGCATGCCAGCGACTCACTCTGCCAGTCAGTCATCTTCTGCTCACACTCTCTGATGGTCTTAGTGTCTGCACCTCCTCCTTGAGTTCCACCACCAGGCTGAGCAGCTCATTCACTGCTCCCACCTCACACAGATGGAATCTCTGCCATCCTCCCCAAGCACTCCCTGCAGCTGGAGACTTGAACAGCTACCTGTTGTCTGGTGGAGACCATGTTTAGACCTGCAGTCTCAGAGACTGCCAAGAGAAAAGCCAGTCAGTCTCCTGAGCAAGGAGGGACAATACTTAGTCCTCAGCACTTGACCCACCTCCCAAAGCTGCAAGCACCATATGGGCAGCTGTGCTCTCTCACTGAACCTCCCCATTCTCAGTGGGCAGTGACAATGTTACTCACCCGGGGTGCTGTGTGCTGTTTAAAGCTTACTATCAGGTGTGAACGTCAAGGGCAGGGGATGACAGTTTGTAGGGTCTTTAAACTGTGCCACTAAACAAGCTAGCTCCACTCCTGCTGACTCAAGAGCCCGCCCACAAGCTGCCAACTCCCCAGCAAAAGCACAGCACTGTTGCTGACTACAAAAAAAGCCTTAAAAAGAGCTCTTTTATTGGCCCTTTTTATTCCAGATCCCTTGCCCAGTGCAGATGTACCTGCTCTGAAGCCAGAAAAAAAATATATATATATATCACTACAGTGAAGACCAGCAATTTATAAATTGTCCTCCCCCTCTACCCTCATGAGGCCACATTTTGAATACTGTGTCCAGTTCTGGACTCCCCAGTTCAAAAAAGACAGATGTCCTAGGAGTCCAGCAAAGGACCACAAAGATGATAAAGGGCCTGGAGCATCTCCCGTATGAGGAAAGGCTGATTGATCTGGGTCTGTTTGGCCTGGGGAAAAGAAGACTAAGAAGGGATGTGATGAATGTTTGTAAGTATCAAAAGGAAGGCGGGAGCCAAATGGATGAGCCAGGCTCTTCTCAGTGGTGTGCAGCAATACAACAAGGAGAAAAGGCCTAAAACCTGAACACAGGAAGAGTCAACGGTTTACAGGCTGGCTCAGCCCAATTCTGTGACTAGCGGGGGCAGAGGGACCCACAGATCTGCACCTCTGGAAAGGGGAAACAGGGGAACCCGAATAATTATAAACAGCAGCAATGATCTGAGGAGAAACAAACTGATTTACTAAATATGGTATCAGAATGCAAGATAACACACAATATACAATATAACTAGAATTGAAACTAATAAATATAATGAGAGAGTGTCCAAAAGGTGGAAAGGCCTCACCATAACGCTGAGGTGAGATGTGCAGTCAGGTCGAGCAGGAGAGAGGAGAGCTGAAAAAACAAAGGGACATCAGGTGACCGTGCCAGGGTTATATCTCCTCTCTGAAGATAAAGTGTTCCGGGGTATGTAGTTCTTCTCTTCTGGACAGGTGCCTGGAACTGGAGCATTAACACTTTAATGCCCAGTGCACTACATGATGTTATAATGTGGAATACTGACAACCAAAAATCGTAAAACTGTGACAGGAAGTTTCTTACTAACAGGCAGAAGAACTTTCTCATGGTAATAGAACATTGGAACAGATTACCCTGAGAGGTTGTGGAGTGTTCTTCATTCAAGTCCCAGCTGGACTTCTACCTGTGCAATCTAGTGTAGGGTACCTGCTTTAGCAGCAGGAGTGGACTCAGTGATCTCTTGAGGTCCCTTCCAATCTCTGAAATTCCAACATTAGGAGTATACCCGTTAAACACTTCTTTTTTTCTGCTAACAATTTCTCCAAATAAGCTGAAAAACAGATATTGTCATTACATGTGTACAGTTTGTCCCACCTAATTTCACTATAGATATTTGCCAACTCTATTTGTGATGGTGTATGATTTTCATGTTTGCTTTGTATGTTTGTTTTTCACAGGATGAGAATATAATGCGGTCCATGCAGCTCTTTGAAAATGTGATTTAATGAAGGCATTAGGTCAACTACTAATGGACAAATATAAGCAATTCTGCAACATAATCTAAAAGATGGGTTTCCCACTTTACCATAAATAAAGTTACTCAGCTTTATACTGAGACATGCAATATGCAAATAAGTCTTTTTTTTTTTAATTAAAGTTTTCTCCCTAAATCTTTCAAAATTATACATTTTAGTACTTCAGCAGTGGCTACTTAGCAAGATTGTTCTGAAAAGTCAGTGTTTTATTTCAGATCCCTCAAAACAGAACCTGACATGCGTTTTTATTATCATTCCAAACCTTAGATAATATAGTTTTAATCAGACAAGGAAATTAAACACTCTTAGTTTTGCTACATATTTGTACTGGATTCAGCTTGGGGTGTTTGAGCATACTTATTAAGTCTCAGCTTCTAATTTACACAGAGACATTACCATGTATTTTCTTTTCATGTTTGTATGGTGTAGTCCTCATATTTTTAATTAATACTTCTAGTTAAAGTGCTATCACTGATGTGCTGCACTGTGTATGCACTGATTGCTTGCAGCAATTGCCTTTCACATTTGACGTGCTTCTGTCCTCTTCAGAAACACCTCCCAAACCTAGTAAAATAGGTAACGTGAGAGGAAGAAGTGTTAAACAATAAACACATTGAAATTATGACTGCTTCAGTAGTTCTGTTCCCTAACAAATACTGGTAAGCTTCTATCAAGCATGCTTATCTAGTAAATCTGCATTTAATTGATCATGACAAAAACATCAAGATATTCTACCTACTGTACTTCTAAATTAAGAATCTTCTGAATTTGAATTTTTTAATGAAGAAAACTTAACTAGCTCCTAACACTGTTTCCATGAGTGTCTTGTTGCCTTTAATAAAGTAAAAAAAAAAAAAGTTGTTTTAAAATTTTCATCCCTTTTCAGTGCACAGAATGAATATCACTAGGCAGTAACATCTACTAATGACTACTAGACGAGCTAACATCTGTGTCAGCATTTTTGTAGTATCTTTAAGATTCAGGATGAAAAAATGAAGCTTCAACTATACAATATTATATACATGTGATAACTGCATTAAATTTTTTAGCATAATTTTTTCATTAAGATTCGAGAAACCTAAATATGAACCTAGATAAAAATATATGTACCTAAAATATACTTATGCCCCTTCCAATACATGTAATTTTTAAGATATATTGTCCAGAGTTTCATGCCAATACCTCCCAATAGGTGAAATGCTTTCAGAGATAGGCCGATCGTCATTGTGACATTGCTGCAGAAAACATGAAATGGGATTAATGATGTAGAAAGAATGTTGTAAACATTCTTTTGCAAGAAAAAAATCAGGTATCTATTCTGGTGTAGAGGTGGGATGTTAGAGGCATGCTGAGGCTGCTCTGCTATCACCAGTGTAGGATAAGAGTAGTACAATACATGTACACCTGAAATTTGCTGTAGAGTGTTTGTGTAAACTAAGTGTGCACATTTTGTAAAAAAAATAATATAAGAAATAAAGTAAACAAAGAAAAACAAACAGCATGAGCATTTTTTTTTTGTGTTGTTAAAGAAATAGTTATTCAGATAAAAGATTTCTGCCAACAAAACTTACTTATTTTAAAAAGCTTAAATACATATATATTGACTTAGAACTGTTCTGAAGTAAATTTAATTTAGTCAGCCAGCAATAATCTTCTTAATATTCTGAAATCGTTTTCACATAATCAAATATTATTTAACAAGACCCGCTGAACGACATTTTGCAATCAAACTCAATTACAATAATGGACAAATGCTGCTCCAGCTTCTGACAACAATGTGCTGGGCAGACCCTGATCAAGTTCCCTGTTTGCTATGTGTATGGTATGTTCATCTTCATACCTTCAAAAGCTGACTCTCAGAATGTCTAGGTGGGCTCTTACAATTCTGTGTCTAATCCACTAAGTCCTGGTGAACCAGAACAGCATCCACGTGTGCCTATGGCACAGAATAAGTTAAATGTTTCAAAAGCGTATGTAATTTAACACAAAGTTAATTGCCATTTATATACAAATATATAATTTATTTATTATTTATATATTATTTATTATTTATATACAAAATATAAATTTGTATTTACTCTGCTTTTGAAATAATATCCAGTGTCTTTGTAAGCACAATGCATACATAAATAGCAGCCAATAGAGAATTAATAGAGTCGTTCATAATCATATATTCACAAACTTATGGGACTTTCCCCACTCTCCATTATACTGAAAAAGAACTGTGATTAATTTAAGAGAATATAACATACCACAAAGTGATGTTCACAGGCAGTTTATCTTCAGACTTGAACTCACAAATCACTATGGATTTTTTGTTCAGGGGAATACAGAACAATAGGTTGGAATTTTAGATTTGATGATAGTCACCGTTGCCTGGTGATGAAAATATAATGCATTTAAACAAAGTAAGGTGTACTAGCACTACATTTGAGAGTATTCACATCATGTCTATAAACTGTATAATTCAAAACTTTTAGTTGTCTTTACTGCTATGAAACAAAATGGTAGAAAATTAAAATGCATTATTTACGAAGAAATTTACTTTCAAAAGAGTTGAAAATAGTAGACTGAAAAAAACAGCAGCATTGTGATAACTAACGAAGAAGAGTGATATTCTGGAAGATATTTCCAATAAAAGTACTGATCATATACATTGTAACTCATTTTTCTAATAGCGGATAGATTCATTAGCTGTACTATGTAATGTCATTGACTATGATCACAACTTAGGTGCTTCTTTCCAGCTTTTTTGTATTTTTCTCTCTAAGAATTTTAAAAAATGTGCAGAAAGACCACACAGTAATCTGATTGGCAACAGTAAATTACTGGACAGATAATAATTAGAGGTGGCTTAATGATTTATTGGATCAGCTCTATTATCTAGACTTAAATTCTCAGAACATCAAAACGAAGTGCAATTTGCCTCCTCTTATCTCACTGAACACAAATCGGGAACTTTCACACTGGTCTGTGATGATCATACAGTCTGCAATATGAACACTCCTATCGCCCTTAAATGAATATGAGTATCCCTAAAAAAAGAGTGGCTGCCTATTGATTTTACGGTTGCTTATTAAGAAAGAAAAAAGGCTCAGAAATGGTAAGACCTACATTTAGGATCCTTACCCTCCACATTATTTCTGTTCTTTATCAACAGTCACTCAATATCATACATGCAACTACTCGTGGGGTCATTAGAACAAATAATTTCAATTCTAGATGAACATCCGAGCCAATGTTTTCTCACTTTTTCTTCTCTCCTTCTCGATGAACAATGAATTGTGAAAAAGTTATAAACAGAATGTTTAACAGTATAATACTTTTCTGTACTTTACTATTTAAGTTTTTGATTTTTTTTTAAATGTGTAGCAACTGAGGATCTTAACCTCTGAGTTAATCAAGATGGGCTAAAATGTGAGCATCTGATTTTCTTAGTAAGTGACCTAAGTACTAAGCTATTAGGGAATGGGCAGGCATCATCAATAACAGCAAATAGTTTCTTTTAGCAAGGGCTAAGAGTGCTGAGGAAAGCACTTGGGCTCAGAAAAAGGAACATATAGCCTTCATCCCGGGTGCACTGAAGGAAGGCAAATATTTAGCCTGAGTCAGGTGTCAAAAGGGGCCAGGAGCAATTTGCATTTAACATTTGGTGAATACATGGATCACTCTTCACGGGTATCTACCCTACTCTATGGTCTGTTCAAGAAGCCCTTATGCTTAACTCAGTGTGAAAATCTACTTCGTAAATGCTGCAGTGCCTAATTTGGACTAAGGATTCATATAAAGCATCCTGGATATTAACCCACGCCACACCCATTCTAAACCCTGGAAAAAGACTTTCCAGAAAAGTGAAGAATTCAAAAGAAAGAACAGAGAGTGACTTATTTAACTACTAAGGATGCATAAACTTCCCACCAAGAAGAATAAAATCTTCCAAGCAAATAACATTGGTAGGGATCCACACTGATGGATGCTGGCTCCACAAAAGAGTTTTTCGAATGTGGATTGATGCACTGTTTGAGTATGGCCATTCAGTTTCTGATGTAGCTATCAGTCCCCTGGAATATTTTACTGAAACACTCTCCTGTGTTTCCTGCTCTGAGATTAAAATAATGATGAAGACAAATAAAAGAGAGAAATAAAAAATGGGAAACAACAGAAGCTAACCAGCGGAATATGCTTCATGCAGTGTAGACTTAAGGTCATTTCTATCATCACTTAATACCTCAAAAGGACTGAAACAACTATGTTTATAGTGGACTAGAATTGCCACAGTTTAATTTTTTAAAAATCCTGTTTTATACAATATTAAAAGCTGTGATGTTAAAATAAGTACTCTGAACTGGGTTATTAATCTGATAGCCAGATACGGAAGTTGTTTTGGCAAAGATGCATTCAAGTGTACAGTTTACACAGTACTGTCTGGTCAACTCACCTTTCCACCATATTGCTCCAACTTCTGTAAAGCAACAGTGATTTTTTCTCTAAATTTCTTGTCCATTAATCTCCTTGAAAGCTATTGGAAAAGTACAATAAAGAGGTCTGTAACCCATTCACTTTTCTTTGGGAAATGAGAGCCAAAAGAAACATAATTTTAAAACTTGTAGCTGATGTCAAAGTATGGATCTCAGTCAAGGCAGAAGGAGTGAAACATTAACTGTTGAGCTTTCTTTGAATTGAAGTTTCTCATCCATTAGCCAAACAGTTTAAAATTTTTTCTTTTAGCAAACAAATTTGGAAGAGGAATCAATACAAAGTCATTCTTGAAGTGCTATCCACATGAAAAGTTAACATGCTTTTCATGTGTACCAAAAGGGATTTACTATAGTGAAAATACTCTAAAAAAATATTGCAGATTCTCTCTTTCTTTTAATTTGCTGTAAAAATTCTGTTTGGAAGAAAGCTACGTTAAACCATGTCTGTTTGATAGAGGAGGGAAGTCTACAGAGGAAGTCTACAAAAGGATTCAGTATAAAAATACATTCCCCAGTTCAACTTGAAGTTTACTGAACAAAACTTCCATGTGCAGAATTGCCATCTGAAAGAAGTAGAAATATGCTCCTGTGATAATTTATTGGCACTTCTACAGATTTTTGAAAACGTTCACATTTGAAGTGCAAAACTCACTTAGCAATAAACATAAATATTGTTTCAAAACATAGCATCTATTTCACCTCAGGCTCAAAAAGTTGAATCTGTTTTTAAACAGGAAACAATTCAATTATTAATTGATATTAATGATGAAATGAAATATTAATTCAATAATTAAAATCTCAACATTAACAACAGGTTTTGCACAGTTAGAACTTTTGAAGTCACTAGACTCTTAAAGAATGATGGACTTGCACAGAGAAATATATGAACTAATGCATTTAATGGAACTGCTGAGTCCTCCAGTGTTATCTATGCAGATATTACAGTAAACATCTCAACAAAAGTACCCCAAAAATACATATAATCTCTTATTACAACATTAAAACTTACATTTGTAAGCAGATGCTTAAGATGGTCGTTAAGAGATGGGCCAACAACAGCACTCAGTTGAACTAAAGCATCTAATCCCCTTTCAAATACTTCATCATCTGAATGGGCCTTTGAGGGAAGGAAAACAAATCCTGTCAAATATTCAGACAAGTGCACAGACTCTTCAAAAACACAATCTCTATTTTATGATTGCATTTTTATTATTGTACTTCTAATAAACTAAAACTACTGGAAAACCGTTTATTTTTAAGATGTTATAAACAGTGCAGAAATATAATACAACTGAATATTGTCTAGATTTAATAATTAAATGCAGAGTTGTTTGTTTTTTTTTTTGTAGAAAGTAGAAAACGAAAGCCTCTGCAATTTGTCTGTGAAATTATTGCACATAATTAAAAAAAAAAAACAAAAAAGGAAGCTGCTAATTTATGCTCGATACGCAAATAAATACATTCTGCAAGCAAAACTGTGTCTAATATTTCACTTCTGAAATGTATCCTACGTACAGCACAGCTTATTAGGAAGAACTTCTTAAAAATGTGGATATATCAAAATTGGGAACCAACATTTTAGTTGAAAATGTAACAAACTGAGAATAATTCTTAATTAATTCATAATAATAGTCTTTGTTAGAGAAACAGAGGAACCAATGACTTTCTGGCTCAATGAATTTAGCCCTGCCAACTACAGCTTTGTCATCTGCCAGCAACCATCACGCACTTACCTACTTCTATAGTGCTTTGTCATCTCTACTGCTCCCATTATCAAATTAATAACAATGACTGGAAGAACAGACAAAAATAATTCTTCTTAAAAAAAAATAAAATAAAAAAAGCATCTATGAAAATCTCTGCAAGAAGAATAAGACATACCAATGCAGCCTTTAAAACAGGAACTAGACGAGGCAACAAGGGAATGGCTTTTTCAGTAGCACCTTCAGTCAGAAGTAATTCTTTAAAACCCTCCTTTGAAACAAATGTATAGGGATGCTTTGTCTCTCTCAGACCCTGGTGCAAATGTAAAACATATTCTCTTAAAAGATATTCTTTTAAACAAAAGATCATTTTAAAAATTCCACATAATGGAAGGACAATGTTTAGATTCTCCTACATCAATTCAAAACATAAAATACACTAACTCCACCATGTGGATCCACTGAGTACAACTGTGATCACAAAATACTCATTTTTCTTTGGAAACAGTGAATATTAAAACCTACGTTATGAATGTTGATATTTTAATCACTATTTGTACTTCATTATATTTAATCTACCTATCCAGAGGAATTTTTCAACAAGGCCATCAACAGAAGATTATGTTATATTTGTAAATAACTTCCATACCATGAGGGAAAATTAAATAGAAAATTAAACAATAGAAGGAAAGATAGCACCCCCAGCAATTGCAAAAACTGGTGAATGGTACAAATATTCATGATGACCTAAACAGCAGAACTCAAAGATTAAAGTTGTATGGTGGAAGTCTCTCTTCTTTCCTTTACAGGAGCTGCAAGCTACTTTAAGTATTGACTTAAAGCTTGTTTAATCTTTCAAAGGAATTGAATGCTCTGGAGGCATTCAAGGCCAGGCTGGATGTGGAACTGGGCAGCCTGGTCTACTGACTGGCAATCTTACCCATGGCAGGGGCTTTGAGACTAGATGATCTTTGAGGTTCTTTTCAACACAGGCCATTCTAGGATTCTATGAAAATAAAAGCCCGCTCTATAGAACGCACTATATTCAACTTCTATTAAGACTCCCAAAACATATTTGGCTATAAATGATGCTGATGAAATATAAGAGTGTGAACATTATAAACAGTGTTTATTTTCTTTAACTTACTTAAAGAATCCTATTTTCAGTGTATTAATTCAATCTATTAGCAAGGGCACTATTAATTTAAGAGGTGGGTTTTATACGCCGAAAATATAATCAGTTGTTTATACAAGAACCTCCAAACTCACAAATGAATCAAAGTATTTTGTTCAGTGCAGTCTTGTACGTGGACAGTAGCTCAATCATAGAATCACAGAATCATAGAATCACAACGACCTCTAAGATCATCTAGTCCAACCGTCTCCTCATCACCACTGCCACAACAAGCACTAAACCACATCACACAGCACGTCAGCCAGATGCCTCTTGAACACTGCCAGGGACGGCGACTCCACCACCTCTCTGGGCAGCCATTCCAGTGCCTGACCACTCTCTGAGAGAAAAAGTTCTTCCTTATGTCTAATCTAAACCTCCTCTTATACAACTTGTGGCCATTACCCCGTGTCCTGCTTGTTGCCTGGGGGAAGAGGCCAAATCCCTCTTCACCACAACCTCCCTTCAGGAGGTTGTAGAGTGCAATGAGGTCTCCCCTGAGCCTCCTCTTCTCCAGACTGAACAATCCCAGCACCCTCAGCTGCTCCTCAGAAGATTTGTGCTCCAGACCCCTCACCAGTTTCGTTGCCCTGATTAGGTACAGCTACCTAGCTCTTCCAAAATGCTTTGACTAAAGAATTAGAAGTGGCAGTATTCTTGACTGTCTTCATAGAATGACTTGGGCTGAAAGGGACCTCAAGGATCATCAACACACACAAGATCTTCATGTTGCTCTTCCATATATATAGAAATTTTGGCTAGTTCAGCTGGTTTTGAAATTTTATTTGCAACTTAAACAAATTATATTGTAAAATGCAATGGTTCCTTTTTTTCATAGCACACTAAAGGCAACTTTCACTAAGCACGTGAAGTAGTTATCTAGCTCCATTTCCTTAAGGGCTAGAAAGTGCCTTGTACTTTTTGTACCCCTGTACCTCAGGGAGAGGAAATCCCTATGGATTTCTGGTCAGTATTTAGATTTCTTAAAAATAATAATCAGATAGTTGAAGTTGGTGGATAACCTTCAGAACAAGTATTCATTTTTACTCTTATCTGAGCAAGATATACTTACCTGTAAACTGACATTTTAAAACACTTCCCTTCCTTGTCCTAAGTGCCAATTTATAGCTTAACAAGGAATATATAATGAATATTAAATCACTGCTGCAACTAAGTAACTGTCAGTAAATCATCAGACCCCTAATAATACCTTAGCTGAACTGTCCACCTATAAGAAAGTCTGACTAATTCCGTGACTCTCAAGTATGATCTAAAAGTGCAAACACATCCAGCTCAACTTAAAGGGTTAATTCATGTAACAGATAAAAAATCTAGCTTTTTGATGAGCACAGAGCTTCAAAAAAGCCACTGCTTTATACTGCTGAATACAAACTAGTACTCACAACACACATATACAAAATAATATAGCAGTACCTGATACTATTAACATAAAGTCCTAAAGAATTAGCATTTATATTATATGGAAATTATACGGAACCTGCTATCCAGCAGGTTCTCACTTCTGTGAAGAGCCATCTCCAAGAGCTATTTGAAGCCTGAGTAGCAAGCATGAGTGTACAGTTGTGACAGTTCTATGCCGAACTATGCTGATGATTTAAGAAGCACAATATAGGTAACTATAAAAAATAAGATCAACAAAAGGTTTAAAACTGATTATCTATCGCACTGTCAATGATAATCTATAGTACACTGAACATGCTTCAGATTTAGATGCAATCTCCTGCGATTAGCCTCTGAGCTTTTACACATAGATACTATGCTATATTAAAGTTTATGTTTCTAGCCTTTAATAATGTTGAGAAAGTTTCAATAATGTTAAATGTGCCCATATTTCTTCCCAAATCCATATATAGACAAAACAAAGTCAATCCAAATAGCTCAGAATGCTTGAAGGAGAAGGTAAGTCCAAAATCTCTCAGTAAATATATTACAAGGCCTGCTCTGAAAGAAATATCTCCTGTCTTATTATGCTGGCCCACAATGTCAGAGGTGGATGTTGGTGGTAAGGCAGTAGAAACTGGACCTTCCCACTAAGCTAATATTCCCTTACACTTTTTTGACGCTTGACAGATGGCAACAGATGGGGCAGAGCCACTGCTGTGATGGCACGGGGCAGAGACTGGCCACAGTGCAAGCTGTGCTGGGCCACATGGGGCCCAAGAGTTGGAGATGGGTGTTTTAAGTGATTCTTAGAAGACCCAAAGTGACTCTAGCTACACTTAATAGCATGCATCGAACATTCACTCTGTGTTAACATTAAATATAACATCAGAGGAAAAGAAGACAGAGCCACACTATTTTCAGTGAACACAGGTATCCAGTGCCAGGGTAAGAGGCAATAGGCAGAAACTGGAACAGAAGAGGTTCTATTCGAAAACCAGTAGAAGCACTTCACTGTATAGATGATGCAACACTGGAACAACTTGCTCTCAGTGCCCCTGCTTGAGCAGCAGTTGGACAGATGGATCCATTGGTCCCCTCCCACCTCAAACATTCTGCGATTGTGTGATAACAGGAGGTAAAAGCATCTTGGAAGAGACAACCTCACTGCCTGAGCCAGAAAAGCATCTACATAAAGCTGTTGGAATGCGATGAGGAAGATGGTTTAGGTAATACTACAGCACAAGCATAAAAACAATTTTGATTTCCATTTCTTCATAGGTTTCTGATGAAAGAAATCATAACAGTGTCATCCATTCTTAATATTTAAAACACTGCTTTTCTTTGCATTTATCTTTACATGAGCTAGGGTTATAGACAACTCAATGAAAGAAGGAAATATCAAAGCATTCCTCCTCTTCAGGTGTTAACAGTTCTTAAAATGTTGTAACTGAAATGCATATTAGAATCATAGAATCACCCAGGTTGGAAAAGACCTGCAAGATCACCCAGTCCAATCATCCACCTATCACCACTAGTTCTCACTAAACCACGTCCCTCAGTACAACATCTAAACATACCTTTAACACCTCCACCACCAGTGACTCCACCACCTCCCTGGTGGAGCCCCACTCCAGCACCTGACCACTCTTTAGAAAAAGCAGTACATCCTTATCCAGCCTGAATCCTCCTGGCGCAACTTGAGGCCATTCCCTCTAGTCCCATCACTAGCATCTAGTTCCACAACACTGGACTCTGGTGACTCCAAGAAAAAGGATACATCTGTTGCTGAAGCACATATATCTGTTTTAGAGATTGCAGCATGTGGTCAGAAGAGGAAAACTCATCCTTCAATGACCTACACAAACAAGCAAAACTCTCTGGAGTACAATATAGCACAGAGGAATGCCTGTGGACTACAGTGGTCAGAAAGGAACAACTGCTTTTTATCTCTTCTATCTAAGTAAAAAGGACTTTTAAGCAAAAGCTACTGTAAGTAGGTCTGTACCTCTTTCACGTAAAGAATTTTTTTTTACCCCCCCCTCGTATTTAGTGGTAGAAAAACAGTGAAACATTTGCAGTGAAAAAAGAGCACAGAAACCCACCAGCTGTCTTTTCAATGACCAGAAAACAAGTAAGAGAAAAATCTAACATAGCTCCACTGGTTTTAAATTACTCTTCATAGTACCCACAATAGATTTCAGTTGATGCTTGGAGGTGGGCCCTTCTTTTTACACAGCGAACGTTGTCAGGACCTCCAATTAAGTAGAAACAGCCTATGACAGCTCAGCCATTTTATGCATACAGATCACTGCAAAGTCACACAAAAGACAACAATGTATTTTGACTGAAAGTGAACTGGAATTCAGCTGAACTGAGAACTGAACTGTGAATTTCAATGCTTCCAAAAGATACAAGACAAAGAATCAACAGCTCTCCTGTGTGCTCTCTAGCATATCTACTCTTTCTTAGTCCCAAGCAAATCCAGACAGTGAATTTAGTCCTATGCAGATATGGTGACTATACGATTGGTCTTATCTACAAGAGTCATGTTTTCACAGTCCCTGGATGACTTTTTTGGACATCCAGACTAATGTATGTGAAAGGTATGTACTGGAAAAACATATGATCAAAAAAAGAAGAACACTTTGTGTGTGTTTGAGAGAACTGAAATCCTACTTTTTTTCTCCACAGTGTCCACATCTCAGATAAATGCTTAGGTCAGAAAGGAATGGGCTTGCTTTTACTTTCTTATTTAACTTTGTGTTTGAAATTAGGTTTGGAGACTGACAGTACCTTAGTTCCTCCCAGAATTATTTTAATTAAATCATGAAGAAGTAGACTGGCATTATTTAGCTTTTAGGAACACATAGCTCTGAGACATTTTTACACACCCCTTGTCGTCGCCTTTGTTTTGGCGACCCTGACTGAAGTCCCCTTGTGAAAGTGTTCTGACAGCCCCAGTCAGTTTTGCACTCTTTTCATGACGCCAATATGGTAAGAGGCAAAATGGCCTTTGTTGCAAGGAGCACACCCTTCTTAAAGCTTTTCCCATGCCTTAGGGCTACTACAGTTATCTCTGACCAATGGATATGTGGCATGTCTTGTTTCCTCCTTATTTGGTCTAACCTGTTCTTCTCTCTTATCTTCAAGACATTTGTTGCCATGGTTTCCCAAGGACCAAGGGGCCCCTGTGGACCCTGGCGACTGCCACAGCCTATTCAGTTGACTACACCTTGTTTCAAAGAATAAATCATAAATCATGAAGTCCAACTACAATAGCAGTTAAATAACAGAAGCTGATGTAAAAATGTAGCTGAGTACATTCACATAACATTTCAGCACTACATGGAATAAATACTGTATGCTTATTTTCCCAAGAAGACAGTTTACCTCTGCTAGAGTTACAAGAAGAGGATCAAAAGAAACTGTTTCAAGAGGGCACTCCCAGTGCAGTCTGTGCTTTACTGATCCATGCATTAACCTATGTAAAGAATTAAAGTTGAAACAAATTAACATATAATAATACACAATTTATTTCTAACACTACTCATTGAAATACTGCCATTAGTTTTTTAAGACTATTATGCCATTGTATACACAACCTCAACATGTACTGCCCTCCGTAATGAAATGTGTAAGAGCACCTAGAAGTGCAATTATTGCAGTTTTCAAGATGGCAGTTTTCAGAATTCTAATCCCTACCACAAAGAAATCAGAAAATAAAAGTTATAAGAATTATAGACAGATCTCATACAGACACAGAAGATGCTCCCTTTTTAAAGGTACTCATTTTAATAGCTGTCAATAAACATTTCCCTCAAATACTAACTGATAAGAAAAAAAACAGCTGAAACTGAAAGAAAATTATACTGGAATTCTTCAGTTGATCCTGTATAAATGAATTATTTAACACATGTATATATACTACATATATATATATATGTACATATACATATGTATATATATATACATATAGTATATATGTACTACATGTATACTATATATATATATATATGTAGTGCTCATGATTAATAAGTAATTATTAATTTAACTAATTCTGCATCCACTTGACAAACCACTAGAGAAAAGTGCTTATTATGTATGTGAATATGTAATAGAAAAGGGAATTGAAAATACCATAAAACACTTACATGTAGTTTTGTTAATATCCAATATTGCTGAAAATTACAGAGTTGCAATAAACAAGATGTTCCCATATTACTTACTGCAGACAAAAAGACTGCAAGATGTTTGCTTAATAAAATGGCACTAATTTTATTATCTTTGTTATTAGGAAAAGCACCTTTATATGAAGAAATCAGCATCTTTCATGAAAGAGTTTTAACACTGCACAAAAAAGAACAAAAAGGAGCCATTATCAAACATATGGAAAATTGCTACTTTCTTTGAAAAGAAATTAAACTGCCTAAATAAAAGAGTATAAAGCTGTGAATAGATGTTTATCAATCTGTGTAATTCTACCTAAGCCTAACACATATAATAAAAAGGAAGCAAACAGAACTAAAATACCTGCATGGAATGCCACCTTTAGCATACGTAGCAGCAAATGCAGAAGGCGTTCTAGAAGGAGCAGCAAACTGCAAGGACACAAAAAAAGAAGAGAAAAAAGTTTATAAGTTTGAATATGTTAAAACTGCAAATTATTGAGAAGGCAGCTTTGTTGTATGATTGTAAAAATAAATTGAAAAAAATCTGCAGATACAGGATGGAAAACACACATTTGGTACATATATCAAGAAAAGGGCTTTACAGAATTGTCTTCGGAGAAAGTTGTAAAAATGAACTAATAATGTAGAATTCATGCTTTCCTGATGCAGTGCTCCCATTTTCCTATTTTGTCATGAAAATCTTAAGACTGAAATCTTATGAGTTCTCTCTTAACAGATTAAGGACATCTCACTTTCCCAATGGTCACTATATGCAGGTATCATGGCTAGGATAATTTTCTCTGTAGAGGGTGGTATGACTAAGTGCTTTGGATTTTTGATGAAAATATACTGATGATAGCACACTGATGCTTTACTTGTTGCATGGCAGTGTTTACAAAGAGCCATAGACTTCAGCCTCTTACCCTGCCCTGCTAAGCAAGTTGCTGGGGGTGCACAAGAAAGGGACATGGCCACAATAGTTGACTTCAAACTGCTCAAAAGAACATCCTGTACCATATGTTGTCATGCTTGGCAATAAAAGCTGGGGTAAAGAAGGAGGGGACTTTGTAATGCTGGTGTTTGTCTTCCCAAGAAATCATTACGCGTAATGAGCTCTGCATCCCTGGAAGTGGCTGAGGATCTGCCTGCTGATGCTTTGGGAAACAGCAAATGAATTTTTTTCTTTGATTGCACACACAGCTTTTGTTTTACCTAATAAACAGTCTTTACAAGTTCACAAGAACTCACAAGTTCTTGCACTTTTACCCTCTACAATTCCTTCACCCACCCCACTTGGGAAGAGTGAGCAGCTGTGTGCTTTTGAGCTGACACACAGCTGTGGGGTTACTCAACAACAGCAGCTAACTTGCAGGAGGTTGTTTTGCTCCAACTCCAGCCTGATCTGAGTATACATGAAATTTACAAGTTGGCAAGATGTAGAATAACATCAAACATTGAGCCAGATGGCATATGGGCACTGAAAATCAGTGGGAGCTTAGTGTGAGGAAAGCCTACACAAAGTTTTTGTGTTTTTTTTTTCAATCATATACATGGTTCTTATCAGGTTGAAATATGACATAATTTATTAGCTCAATGCTACATTCAAGATTAAACAACTTGTCACAAACTATATAGCATGAAATACCAGGAAATCTTAATTTCTGTCTTTCTAGTGTTTGAAGCTACACCAACACCAATAAAATTCTGCACACAATTTGACTTTTCACTAACAATTAATTTGTTAGAGTTCACGAGATCTAGATGATCTTCAAGATACAACCAGAGTCTTTGTTTCATTGCAAAACATGGCATGGGTTATCAAAGCCATAACTCTGATCTGTACCCCTAAAGGACCAGGTGCCAAAATTTACAACTATATAAAAAAAAAAAACAATAGAAAACCTCATTAACTTTTTTTTTTTTTTTTTTCTCATTAACTAAATCATGTTTAGGTACATAGAAAGAAAAAAAAAATTGCCACTAAAGCCATAGTTGTATCAAAACTTCTTTTTAAAATGAAGTAATAAACATGTTATTACTCAAACATTTCAGCATGTGATTTAGGTTGTAATTTAAGCAATGTATGATTAATAACAAAAGTTTAGTTTAAATTATCAATATTGGACCAGAAGAATTATCTGCATGCATAGCTTCAAGTATGGAAATTTTTTTCCAACAAAATAATGATTTTAAATAAAACAAAAGACCCGCCACCCATACATACTGGATCAATAGTTTTGGGATTCAGCTTGTCACTGGGCTTTGGCTGTGGCTTAACCGCAGGTTCTGGAGAAGATGGCAAAGGAGAGGAGGTCTTGGTTTTCTGTGCTGCAGCCTTTGCTTTTATCTGGGTGCCTGATGACATGTTTAGAACATTGCTACCTAGAATAGAAAAAGATTAAAAACATAGAATTGCATTCCTACGTGACAGGATATCAAGGGTTACAATCTCCAGGTCAAAAGACTGACATTAACAATGAAGAAAATCTGAATAAAGGAATCCTTATTCTTCTTTATCTCCTAATCCTGTGCTGCTCTCCTTCACTTTGCTAACATTTTCAGAATATGGCCTGCCTTTGGCAACAGATCTTTTAAAAAGGTCACAATTAGGCAATGAAGTCTCTTTAGAACACACAAAAAACATACATGGGATCTTTAAAGGTCAGGTAGTCCAATACCCCTACAGTGAAAGACAATCTACAGCTAGATTAGATGCTCAGAACCTGGTCCAGCCTTATCTTGAATGTCTCCAGGGACAGGGCATCCACCACATCGCTGGGCAGCCTGTTCCAGTGCCTCATCACCCTTACTGTAAAAAAAATTCTTCCTTATATTCAATCTAAATCTACCCTCTTCTAGCTGGTAACCATTTTGACAGGCTAGAGCCACTAGCTGAGCCTGGGTGAACCTGATGAGGTTCAACACGGCAAAGTGCAGAGTTTTGCACTTGGGCCAGAGGAATCCCAGGCTGGAAGGAGCGGTCCTTGAGAGCAGCCCTGCAGAGAAGGACCTGGGGGTCTTGATAGATGAAAAACTTAACATAAGCCAGCAGTGTGCCCTTGCGGCTCGGAAGGCAAATGGTATCCTGGGCTCCATCAAAAGAGGGGTGGCCAGCAGGGACAGGGAGGTGATTGTCCCCCTCTATTCTGCTCTTGTGAGGCCCCATCTGTAGTACTGTGTCCAGGTCTGGAGCCTCCAGCACAAAAAAGACAGAGAGCTGTTGGAGAGGGTCCAGAGGAGGGCCACAAAGATGATCAGGGGACTGGAGCACCTCCCCTATGAAGACAGGCTGAGAGAGCTGGGCTTGTTCAGCCTGGAGAAAAGAAGGCTGCGGGGTGACCTCATTGCAGCCTTTCAATATCTAAAGGGAGCCTACAAAAAGGAGAGGAATCAACTCTTTGAAAGGGCTGATAACTACAGGACAAGGGGAAATGGTTATAAGTTGAGGGAGGAGAGATTTAGGTTGGATGTCAGGGGGAAATTTTTTACAGAGAGTGGTGAGGTGCTGAAATAGGCTGCCTAGAGAGGCTGTGGATGCCCCATCCCTGGAGGTGTTCAAGGGCAGGTTGGATGGGGCCCTGAGCAGCCTGAGCAGTATTAAATGGGGAGGTTCATGACCCTGCATGTGGCAGGGGGGTTACAGATTCATAATCCTTGAGGTCCCTTCCAACCCTGGCCATTCTGTGTGCAATTCTGTGTGATTTCCTGTATCATATCACAACAGATCCTCCTCAAGAGTCCATCCCCTTCTTTCTTACAGCTCCTCTGTAGATACAGAAAGGCTGTTGTCAGGTCACCAAGGAACCTTCTCTTCTCCAGACTGAACAGCCCCCAGTCTCTCAGCCAGTCCTCATAGGAGAGGTGTTCCATCCCTTGGAGCATTTTTATTACCCTCCTCTGGACGTGCTTGAACAGTTCCACATCTCTCCTGTACTGAGGGACTCCACATCTGGACACAATACTGCAGGTGAGTCCTCACCAGCACAGAGCAGATGGGCAGGATTACCCATGCTGCTTTTGATGCAGCTCAGGATATGGTTGGCTTTCTGGACAGCACATTGCTGGCTCGTGTCCAGCTTCACATCCACCAGTACCTCCAAGTTCCTTTTAGCAGAACTGCACTCAATCCTTGTATTAGCAGTAGGGGTTGCCACAACCCAGGTGCAAAGCCTTGCACTCAGATTTGTTGAACCACATGTTCAGAAGCATCCAGACTCTCTCCACTTCCAAGAAGCAATTAAGATATGTGCAGAGAAATTATAATACTGTTCTAAGTAACAACAATTCTAGATGCATTTCAAGTCACTGCTCACACCATCACAGAAAATACAATAAAAAAATAAGCGACAACCAGCAGATACTTTGGGACAAAAGTAAAGATGAGAGTTAGGAAAGTGATGAAGGATATGTACAAACCAAGTGCACAGCTATTGCCAAAGGTGTGATACCGAGGTTAATCATCCTGCTGGCAGAGGACCAGCACAAAAAAAACAAAGGGACCTCTTGGAAAGAATCCAGCGGAGGGCCACAAAAATGGTGAAGGGCCTGGAGCATCTCCCCTATGAAGAAAGGCTGAGTGAACTGGGTCTGTTCAGCCTTGAGAAAAGACGACTGAGAGGGGATCTAATCCAGGTTTATAAATATCTGAGGTGTGGGAGCCATAGTGGTGAGGCCAGTCTCTTTTCAGCAGTACGTGGAGACAGAACAAGGGGAAACGGACATAAACTGCATAAGCATAGGAAGTTCCACACAAATGTGCGCAAGAACTTCTTTACGGTGAGGGTGACGGAGCACTGAAACAGGCTGCCCAGGGGGGCTGTGGAGTCTCCTTCTCTGGAGATGTTCAAGACTCATCTGGACGCCTACCTGTGCAACCTGGTGTAGGGAACCTGCTTTGGCAGGGGGGTTGGTCTCAATGATCTCTAGAGGTCCCTTCCAACCCCTACAATTCTGTGATTCTGTGACAGACTTCACACAAATGGCAGGAATCCATAAATAGAAACGAGGCAAAAGCACATTTGAAAGACCGTCTTTCAAAAGAGAAAAAAAGGAGGCCTGGGTTTGGTTTCTGGAAGCCACGTACAAAAGACAGACTAGCAATAAGCAGTGTATAAAGGCGAAGCTGCTCACTTACCCCGCTGTGTGAGCCCTCTCCGGAGCGCAGCTGAGGCAGAGAAAGGGAGCAGCAGCAATTCCTCGTTTTCCGCGATCCCCCCGTCGCCCGGCCCGGCCCACCCGTGACCCGGCGGCGGGCAGCCCCACGCGCGGCCACGCTTCCTGCCGGTTGCCGGGGAAACTACGGGGCGCCGGGAGCCCAACATTCCTCGGCAGGCCGAGCCCGGGGCGGGCGGAGCATGCGCGGTGGAAGGGCGTGCGCCGGGTCCTCCTCCGGCTGGAGCGGAGGGCAGGGTGTGCGGCTGAGGCATGAGGGTGCTGCAGGAGAGGTGATGGTCGTCCGGTCGTCTGGTCGTCCTCCGTTACCTCAGTGCTAATATCTGCCACCAGCCTGCCTTTCCCCCGTTACAGCCCAGCTGTGTCCAGCCCAAGCCTTCCTCTTGGCTTCCATCAGTAGTCTCACTGAATCAAGTGGACTGTGAAGATATAAATAAAAATATGCTGATATTACTTGCCATGTTCTCTTTGCAGTCATTTCTGTTTCAATTATAAGAACAGAAAATACTTTTTTTTTTTTTAATTAGCCCACTCTAACTATACTGAATTTGTGTCATAAGTACAGTATTTATTCATATAAAAACACATCTGCATGTAGCAAATGACCTTTTGAGTAACAGGATACATTTTTGTCTTCTGCGAACCCAGTAAATCATCAGAATGCGTTTTTGCCTTCCTTGAGAAAAGTGTTTATTCTTTCATGCACTCAGCAGTAAATCTCCAAGCAAGACGTTTTTCTGGTTTGCTTAAATTGTGTGGGATACAATCTTTCCAGAATCACATATTCTTTTTCACTTTATAGCAAGGAACTGAATGACTTCACTAATGGATAAGATAGGCTGTTCTCTTGATTTTCCACAAAAACAGGAAAATGCACTGATGCAGTTGAAAACAGTTGTCAGCTGCTTTTTTTGAAAACTACCATCAGCCTTAGATTTTGGCCAATGTTGGCATTTCGTACTTGTTTTTATCCGGCATAGATAGTTTGTATCTGCCAGTAATTGGAAGTTGTGAGGACATTTGCAGAGTTCAGATGGGGCTACCTAATTTAATGCCTTTTTATCAGTGTAAAGTGGAAATGCAAAAGAAAAAATGTTAAAATTAACGCTAGAGAAACTGAGAAGGGAAGAGATTTCTGCTTTATATGTAAATCATTTAACTAGCAGAAATTACAGTACTTTCGCAGAAGTTTTTGTTGTTCCACAGTACTAAAGGCAATAGAAGAATTGGTGTCCTTCTATTAATGTTATAAGCTGGCAAGGACCTCTGAACAATACAGTATTTTTAAAGCATTATGGTATAGTTCTTTGAAAATGACCTTAAAAACACAGATCAGTGTGCTCGTCTCCATAATGATGAAAAAGAACTGATTTTCTGCATGATGTTTATTTTTGGCTCAGTTATTATAGTATCATTTCCGTCATGTGTCTGATGTAGTAGCTTTTGTGAGTACAGAATAAACTACAGCTATGCTAAGCGATGGAAAAAAGTAGTACTATAATTCCTAAGTCAGTAGGAGGTATGAACTGCTGTGTTGTCTGAAGCAAAATACCACTGATCAGCTCTGTGGAGTCAGCAACTCCCACTGAGTTCCTGGAGGCATAGAAACTACTGGGTTATAGAAGAACAAGTAAGACTCAGTTTCTGTTCAAGAGCAGAGATTTACTTAGCGTTCAGTCAGTTTCATGGAAAATGAAAAATAGGGGAGCGTTACAGTACATCGGTATTTACAGTATACAGGCATTGCTGCCATACTTTAGACACAGAATATACAGTCTTCATTCCTCTTTGGGGAAATGATGCATCAAATCAAGGACTGAGAGACACCAGTCTGGATGCCTGATAGAGGTGTCCCTCAGGGGGGTCACAGTTCATCTCTTGAGCTGGGGAAAATCCTCACATCATCTTAGCTGGCTCTAAAGAAGTTGCCTTCATGCAAATCTTCAGGCATAAGGTCACCAAATATGGGTCAAAATGTCTTTGTTTATGAGAAAATACTTCTCATTGTCTCATATTGTCTCATTTTTATTAAAAACCAGGCTGTAAAATTTTAAACATATTTGGGGAATGGACAATTTAGAAGGAAAAAAAATATACTTTAACAGCAAAACATTAAGATATCATAATAAAAAATATAGCAAATTATTTTAGTATTTTTCTCCATCACAATGGAGAACACAACACTTTGTAGTGTTAAATATGGTGTAATAATCTGCTTTTACTGTTGTATACATACATAACGTTAGCTCCAATTGCTATTATTTTCTCCATTATGTATTTTTTATTTTGTTTGATTTAACTGTCATAAACCTTCCATACTGATCAAAATAAGCAAAAGAAAAAAAAAAACAAAACACAAATAATGATTTTTTAGTCACTAAAGGAAATGCAGTCACTTAGATGCATGTAGTATTCAGGAAAGCATATAAAAATCTGTGTTGTTTTTTTTTTTATAATGATTTGTTTGCTAAATTTTGCTAAATAAAAGAAAGGGTTTACCTTAAAGCCTTTAAGATTGTTTCATCTTTCTATGTAAGTATTAATTTAGTAATATATGAATTTATATTTTTTCATTTGAAAAATATTTTAGAAATTTCTAAGCCAAGTGCCATTTTAGCCTCAGTTGAGGACTAATAACTCTTATAACCTACTAAGAATGATGAAAGTAACAAAAACTTGTTTCCTTGACTCAGTATATTTGCTAATTCTTGTTAATTCTCCAATAATTCTTAAAAGTTAGAGATTCTCATTGACCCCTCAAAAAGTCCACAGTCTATGTTGTTGCATTCTCCAGAAATGTTTTCCTTAGATATTGTTCAAATACCTTCCCCAGAGTTTTTCTCCTTACTTCGCCACTCTTTTTGCTTTATAAAGAGGAGTTATTATACAGCATTTGGAAATAAATGTGAGCTACAGAGCAGACTGTAGACACCTTGTTGTAGATTTTGGGATTCTTCTACAAAGGTTTAGATGCTGGATTCCAAGCGCTGGAACAGGCTCCCCGGGGAGGTGGTTGAGTCACCATCCCTGGATGTGTGTAAAATCCATTTGGATGTGGTGTTCAGGGACATGATTTAGCAGAGGGTTATTAGTTAGGGTAGTACAGTTAGCTCAGTGAAAATTGGTGTGAAAGAGAGACATTTCAGTTGAAGAATTTCAGATAACTATCCATAGATGCTTACATTCTGCTTTAATACATCAGAAATGAGTAGATTGCCTATTATTAAGTGCTAAATTGCTGGGAGGATGCTGTGAGAATCCTTCTTAGTTTTTTTTTGGCTCAAAGCTTGCTTCCTG